GTGCTGCAGGCAGTGGAACATTTTCCCTTCCCTCACCACAACCTTTGCAGCACAGGTGTTTGAAGGCTCTGCTGTTTGTTTGAGGTGTTGCTTTTCTGACCCATGTGAGCATGTTTGCCACAGGGAGCTGGGCAGAAAAAGAGTGGGTGTTTTGGGCCTGAGGGATAATGTGGTGAAGAGTTTTCCCACCATCTGTGTTCTGCTTCCTAGAATGCCTTGGGTAGTCACAGTTCATGTTGCTGGATCACCCCTTTTTAAAATGCTGGCAGGCTTTGTGCTCTGGGAGGTCATTGGTTCATCCTGCCCTTTCTGCCTTACAGGGCTGGAGTTCTGGTGGCCTTGGTGAGACCCTGACAGATGACCTGCCAAACTTCAGCCTGACCCCTCTGGAATACATCAGCAATGTAAGAGAACTCAGCTGTCTTTCTGCTCTAGAAAACAAATTGCTGGGAACACTCCAGAGAGCAAAGATTTGCTTGGAGTAGCAGTTCTCTGTACAGGTCTTTCTTACCATGAGTGTTTCAGTGGCTGCTTCTCTGACCTTGTGAAAAACTGTTTCTTGTACCAAGTGTAATGATGCACGAGAGCCAATTTGTAGGTGAGTGAGTGGCTGTCAGGCTCAGCTCTCTGCTTTCAGGTGTATTTACTGCAGGTGACCTTTTCTGTGTAAAGGACTTGCCTTGCATTTGTTCAGTGACTCAGCTTTTGATGTTTTTATTCTAGATTGGGCAATACATTATGTCTCTTCCTCTGCACCTTGAGCCATTTGTCACTCAAGAGGATTCTGCTTTGGAACTGGCACTACATGCTGGAAAGCTGCCATACCCCCCAGAGCAAGGTAGGTGAGACCAAAGGCTTGGGTGTCTGGGGAGAGCTTTCCCATCCTGGCATCACGCGGGTGGGATGTGACACAGTGACAAAACCATTGGAGACCCTTTCCTATCACACTGTTTCTTCCAAGAATCCTTTGGTAAAACCCAGGAGGAGCCTCTAAATAATGAGTAAAACTTGGTTTTGTTTCATTCAAACTGGAAGCTTTGGCTTGGTCTGTGTGAGTTTGGTGTTCATTAAAATGGAGGTTTGGGGTTTGAAGAGTTCTGTTGGGTTTTGGCTCCTGTTCCTGCTCCAGGGGACTGGCCCTGCCTGCTGTGTCACTAATCCTGCTGCAGGTACAGCAGTGGCCACCTAATGCCTTTCCCTGCAGGCTGCCAGTGTACCTGCTGTGCTGGCTTTAGTCTCTTTATGGTGGTATTATTTCCACAGACAGTAAAGAAGGCATAGAGCTTGGTATTTACAGTCTTCCTGGAACCTTCCACACTCTTTAGTTCAGGCTTTTGCCTTACTGTTATGTCACCTTGAAGCATTTCCATGTTGTAATGCCTCGATAATTTTCAAAACACTAATGGAGCACAGACTGCCTTCAGGGCTGGAAAAAAGCTCTGGTGAATCCTTGTCACTGCCATGTTTGCAAACTGCTCCTGGAAGAGGATCCTGTAGGAGTGCCAGGCAGTGCCCTGTCCCAGCTGGTCACCCATCAGCCCTTTGAAGTGACTTACCTGGAGGGTAACGCAGGGAGTGTTTTGGGTCTGGAGCTCATGCCAGTGGTGTGCAGCACAGGGGGAGTACATGACTGCTTGGATTAGTCCAGAACCAGCTGATAAACTCTGACTACCTGGATGTCCTGTGGAAGGAGCAGTTCCGATGTTATTAACCAGTTATTAATTAGATGTTCAGATGTTATTAACCAGTCGTTAATTAGCTGTTCAGCTGTTATGAACCAGTTAGGATTACATGCTGTAGCAGCCCAGGGTGGCTCAGCAGTGCTGCTAACAGGACTGTGTGTGCAGGGGAGGAGCTGCCCGAGCTGGACAACATGGCTGACTACTGGCTGGGCTCCATCGCCAGGGCCACCATGCAGACCTACTGCGAGGCCATCCTGCAGATCCCACAGCTCTCACCTCACTCCACCAAGCAGCTGGCCACGGACATTGGTGAGCTCCCGGGCACAGCTCTCGTCACCCACGGCTGCTCTGTCACCGTGCAGGGCTCCTGCCTGGGTGGGAGCTCTCTGTGACAGGATTCCCTCTGTCACCACCAACAAGAACAGCTTTCATCTCACAGTGTCTGTTGCAAGTTAAATACCATTTTTTCCTTAATTTTGCAGATTATCTCATAAACGTGATGGATGCCCTGGGCCTGCAGCCCTCACGGGCGCTGCAGAACATTGTGACCCTGCTGAAGGCCAAGCCAGAGGAGTTTCGCCAGGCTGCCAAGAGCCTGCCCCGCCGGATGGCCGCTGGCAT